TTGTTGTGGTTATAAATTAGTTAGGTAAACACAACCACAACCATCACCACCACCACCAACTCATGGGCGGACTGTCCTCTGCCTATGGCAGTAGCAAATACCCGTGAATTTTAGGGTAAAGTTTTGATATTCTTATTCTGACAGTTGCACATCTACGCACATGCAATCCTTGTGTATATGCCATGTGCAAAGAAAGTAAAAGTAAACCACGCTTACTGTACTTCAGAAAGCCAGAAGATGTTGCCGCCTTTCTCTTTTCTAAACACCATCAAAATCTACGCATTTCAGCATGATGCCTTACTGAAAATATGGAAATTGTTGATCGGGAATTGGCAAATCCCACTCGAGTCATCTTTCCTTCCGATATACACAATGTTTGAAGTGGTCTACGATGGCACTTCGCTGTTGAGGAAGGTAATGGAACCAGATTGGAATAAAGCCAATCCTGATTTGCGTTTTGTGGGACAAGAGCGTGTTGTAACACAACGGATGTATTATTACCTCTAAATGGCTTATATACTTCATTGATCACCTCCGCCACAACTAGCCATTTTAAGGTAGTCGTTTGACCCGGTGTAACTTTAGTCAACATGAAATGGCATCAACTTTTAACATTGTGAACAGAAATTACTGATTTTATGTCACTGTCGAGTGAAATTTTTAAGAATTTCGAACCCGATTTTAATTCAATGGAGGGAAACAGCATTGTCAGGAAAGTGATAAAATATAAGATGTGTACAGTCTATTTTCGTCATTGAAACAGAGAGCCAACAATGTTACATATAGGCAGCTGTGTAAAATCTGTAATGGTCTCCTCAGAACTTAAACGCGTCAGTTATATTCCCAAAAAAACATAGTGGGATTTTAGACACTTTTAGGAAAATCTGTTTGCTTTCGCACCACTTTTGATTCTTTCTCACCACATCACACACGCTGTCGTAGTGCCATCAGTGGTTTGTTTAACACTCGGTTTTTTGGGTAAAGGGCACTCCGTGTCTCGGCCACTCTACCTTCACCAGGTTATCTGGCCTCTGAGACCTGCCAGCTGCCCAAGCCACACTGTGCGTCAAATACATTTGTATGTATATACATTCTGTTGCAGTACTATATCCTCCTCCGTCATTTTTGGGGATGTCGATCCGCACTATATTAGAGGCAGCAGAAATTAAACCTGTCTTAGAGGGACATCAATTCTGATTTCTACTGCTGGATGCTAACCTCAGTCCGACGGAAGGAGTGTTTATACTAAGGGTTAAAGAATTGGTGACGACTCCAAAAAGAGGAGCTGAAAATGACATCTGTCATAGCTGAGTACCCTAGTTCCGTCTTCC